TATAAGTTCACTTTTAGTGTAGTTGCAGTACAAACTAAACATTTTGATTTAAACTAGTTGTGTACTCAAAGTTTACTACTGTTATACTAAAAGTATACTTTTAGACTAGAAAGTGGGCCAATTTAGTCCCAAGGAGTATTGAAATAGTACACTTACAAGTATACTACTAGTACACTGATATTTGTATACTTACTACATAAAGTATACTTAAAAATATACTTGAACTTTACTTAAGTATACTTAATAAAATAAACTTGAAGTATACTACTTTTTGGTAAGGGCAGTCCTATTTTTCATTCTGTCTTGGAGTGCATCTTTCAGTTTCAATCTATAAAGTGTGCCAAGTCAACAAATAAAAGTGTAACTCTATGCTAAAACCTGAATAAAATATGCATCATGTCTCATATTCAACTTGTGACACACATCAAAGTGTCACTGTTGCAATGAGCCATAATCCATATGCATTTTGATCAACACATCTCACTAAAGCTACAAACTATGACTACAGTGTAGTTCTTTTATGAGCCTAACATCTTGGAAGAAGAGTTTTGGTGCTGTTATTGGGGAGGTTAGAATGGCAGAGGCTGGTTAGTACAGTGGATGACTGGTGGTTAAAATGTGTGAGGGAGAGTCAGTGATTGGTCAGGAGAACGATGGGGAGGGAGGAGGAAGTATGGGCAACCACACTGGCACTTTAAGTTCTACCTCCACCTCCATATTTGGGGACTCAGAAACTGCAGTTGCCAACACAGACTGGTCCTCATGATCTGTCACAGGCTTTGTAGTGGCTATGGTGAGTTCGCCCTGATAGGTGTCAGGTTCATGAGTGGGCATGTCGGGTATGGAGTCCATCAGATCGACCGTTGTTGTTGGAGATGATTGTACTATTGACTTGGGCTGCTCCGTCACAGGTGGATTTGGCTGCTCTGTTGCAGCTGGTAAAGTTCTTCGATGAGGTTCTTGAGCCAAATACTCCGGCAGCTTAGAGGACACCTCAAGGAAACCTTCTTCAAGAGCTTCAGCTTCCTTTTTCTTCTTACGGGATTCTTTTTTGCCTTTCTTATCTCTCTTTTTCTTCTTCTTTTTGCCTTTGGTGTCTTTTTTTGAGCGTTTCTTTGGTTCCACAGGTTCGTCTCCCTGCATGATGTCATCAAGGTTATGGATGAGTTTGGCCTTTTATAGATGGGGCAAGGGGTCAGAGGTCGGGTATAGATGAACAGAATTAAAACGCTTACAATTTCAAGACAGTAGGACAACACAACTTCAAAATCATTCTAAAATGTATATGACTGGCTCTCTACATCTCTACATAATTGAATCTAAAATGAAGGTAGCTGACTGATTCCGCTAGACAATGCATTATTCTCTTTGCAAATTAGGTCAAAGTTGAACTTGTTCTCAATTCAGATATGCACTACATTATCAGCCCACAATTCAAGGGGTCAGAGTTGAGCTGCTTACAGGCTATTATGAGAGGCCCTGACTGAATAGGCTTGATGAGGCCTGTCGGGGGGAGATTATATGATTAATGTGAGAACCAAAGTGAGGTGTTGAGATGCCAAGTCGGGCAGGATAGAATGAGATCAGTGTGAGCTCTGGTAATAGGTCAGTAATGTGAGCAATGCTGATGAATCTCGCCATTAGTCCCTCTTCTCTCAGCTGTTGTGGGAACTGAAAGCCAGCTGGCTCTACCTCTGAACGGCTGCCGATAGACACTTTTCCTTGAGCCAACTTGGAGAGAGACATAGGCAGACATTTACATTCAGCACACTTGCACAAAACTGGGCGTGGGAGCTGTGAGGAGAAATGAATGCACGATGACCTTAAGCTTTCCTCCCAGAAGGCCGCAGAGAAATGCTAACCCACTGACATGATGACTCACTGGGCTGACTCACCCGCACGTGCATGTTCACAACAAACACAAATCATCACAATCGAAAAAACATGTTCAAAATGTCCACATAAAAAATATCACATTATGAAAACAAATATGGGCCATTCTGTTTATTTGAAAGACAAAGAAGTGTTCTTGCAAGAAAGCTTCTTGTCCCCTAAGCTGTGATTAGAAAATTAATTATGTAATTAAAAAAATACCATCTTTGTTAAAAAAAGAATACAGACATTTTTGAGCCAATCACCAGAGCCATAAATTCCTCCGTATGTGTTTATACACTTATTCAAAAGTTTGGGTTAAGTATGATTTTGGAAGAAATCTCTTCTAATCAAAGATACAGTGAAAACAGTAATAATGTGAAATTTATAAATGAATATATTTTAAAATATAATTTATTCCTGGGATGGCAAAGCTAACATTTCAGCATCCTTACTCCAGTCTTCAGTGTCACATGAAATCATTGTAATATGCTGATTTCATGCTCAAGAAACATTTCATATTGTTATCAGTGTTGAAAACAGTTGTGCTGCTCAATATTTTAATGATGCATGATTTTTTTTTTCAGGATTCTCAGATGAATAGAAAGTTCAAAAGAACAACATTTATTTGAAATAGAAATCTTTTGTAACATTATAAATGTCTTTACTGTTATTTTTAATCTATTTAATGTATCCTTGCTGAATAAAAGTATTAATTTCATTTTAAAAATAAAAATCTTACTGATCCCAAACTTTTGAACAGAATTGTATATATTTGTTTATATAATATACATATAGTATACTGCATTATTTAATCAGAATAAATCCAATCAGTATTTGTATTAATTTGTTTAAGTCCATCAATGAGGTTTTTTAATGTTAGCAGTGTGCTAAAGACCCCTATGTTGTTGTTGTTATCATTATTATTATTCTTTAAATATTCATATTTGCATATTTTATTGTTGCAGTCTAATTAATTCTTTGTTATTTTTGAATCAAAAAGCAGAAAATTTAATAATTGAAATAATTTATGCACATCTACAGTTGTACGTTTAAACCAAAAACAATATTGTTTATACTAAAAATATAGATTGGTTGATTCCTAGAGCTGATGGTGTGTTAGTGCTTCTGCACTAAGCGACAAGCAATTTTATTCATATGCATGCCTGTACTGTTTATTGGCTGGCTCGGATGAGTGCTCTGGGAGCCGAGCCCAGATGCCAGAACAGTAAAAAGTGCAAACAGATAAATGTAAATGTGGAATTGAGAAGCCAAGGCAGCTCGACCACTCAAAGAAAGTTTTGACTGGGCTCTTCCAAAAAGAGGAAGACATTTTTGGCCAAGTTGGAACAAATTATGTCTTCATAACGTTCTGCAATTTTCTGGAAAACTGTGAGGCTAGTTGCTCAAAGTTCATTGGGAAAACAAGTGTTTCTTTCTCTGTTTGCACATGATACTTCAATGCTAAAATGTGAGGAGTCTCTAGAATAATACAAGACAAACTGAATGGACCAATAAATCTGGGCAGAAAAACAGGATGTCATATGGATGTAAAATAAATCAGATGGAAATAAGACAATAAGCTTTTTTGATTACATGGGGAGCCAAACTCACAGAGAAATCACTAACCTCTTCAGGAGCCAGACTCTGGGTACTGTAGGGCAACGGGCTGTCACAATCGGGAATGTAATCTTGGCAGTAGTCAGCCGCAGCCTGAGGATCATCCACGAGCAAGAGCTGCTGGATCTCACCCTGGAACACAAACATACAACACATGCATTGATTCGGTAATATTCACTGCACTGGTGTAATTCTTGTGATCAAAGAGAAATAAAACCCCGTTTAACACTGCATAACTGGAGAACATGCTGATGTAAAGCAGAAAATTAAATTAAGATGAAAAACAACTTTTGTAACACTGATGAAATCGGGGTAAAACTTGTCAAATTTTATTTGCATATAGCATTAGGCATTTTGGAAGCACACTGCAAATAAACGTTTATGCTACTGGAAAAGCAATCTTCACTTCAAAAATATATTTTACACACTTTAGATTTCTATAAACTGTTCAATAAATTGTTCATAAATTCGCTCTGTCTCCTATATTGCTATTATAGGGCTGCAGTTAAAGCCAAAAGACTATGTATTTGACTGCAGTCCCTGTCACAAAACTCTGGCACCAGCATCAGCCCACTAAGAAATTAAAGCAGCAGTGTAATGGGCAGCAATTTAGTGATAGTCCCAGCACAGAGGAAGCACGTGTGAAAAATGACTACACATCTCTGACTATGCTGCCCTCAAGATTGAAATCAGGCCCTAACCAAGGGGTTGGTGCTATAACCACAATAGACACTGAAGGGGGCATGTCTCCTCCCAATAATGAATTATGGCCAAATTGACCATTGTTGTTAGAATGACAAAACGTTACATATTGAGTGTGGTCTGCCACAGCAATTTCAAAATGACTGAGATGGCCAGTCAAATCAAAGAAGGTGGGATTAACTGTTCACAGCAGCCGAGCATGAATTCCAACACAATGCTTGAGCAGCTAAAAATATAATATTTGACAACTGTTTTAAGATGGAAATGAATGACAGAAATACCCCGTAATGTACTTTTGTCAAATTTTGCTGTTTTGAATGGAAAATATCCTACATTATTCATGTGATTCATGTAATTCATAATTGAATGTGACCAGACAAGAAAAATTAATGGAGCCATTTTCAACATATTAACCCTTAAATGCATACCTCGGGTCTTTAGCGACCCGGGACATCATTCTCTACCCTCTCCCTCCTTCATTTTTTTAAGTTAGACATCAACTTTCTTAGTATTCCTCAATCTATTAATTATAAACAATATAACAAGAAAAAAATAGTAAAATATAAAAGAATGCCGGTTTTATGATTAATTTTTTTGTAAAAAAAGTGTATAGGGTCGCTAGATACCCGAGTTATGTAAATGTGTAAGTATTTTTTCATGCGCAACTATATTTACATATCTGATGACAATGATGACGTGATGTTATAATTACATAATTACCGCACACATAAAACGAACGAATATCATCAGCAAAAATTGAAGTGGTTTGAATGGCTTTACTGCAGAGCAATTACTATATGCAATGAAATATAAATGTCACTGTCATTTGATACTGGATGTGGTGAATAAGCTGCCAGTGATCAAAATATTGAATATGAAGCGATAGTTTTGAGAATATGGTTGAGCTCGTGAATATGAGGCAGATGCTGATGATATTCGTGACTCAATATGTGCAATGCATCTTTTTTTCCAACTATATTTACATATCTGATGACAATGATGACGTGATGTTTCACTCATAATTACCGCACACATAAAACAAACGAATATCATCAGCAAAAATTGAAGTGGTTTGAATGGCTTTACTGCAGAGCAATTACTATATGCAATGAAATATAAATGTCACTGTCATTTGATACTGGATGTGGTGAATAAGCTGCCAGTGATCAAAATATTGAATATGAAGTAATTGAAAACGATCATTTTGAGAATATGGCTGAGATCGTGAATATGAGGCAGATGCTGAATGTACTGTGCAAGTGCACTCTGACGATAACAGCGATGGTAAAATCATCTGCTCAAATTGAACCCTTTTAAGTTTCAAAAGGTAACGAAATATGCTTTATTTTATTCTTCTGTAATTGTTCTTAAAATATCAAGAGAGTTTTTTGCTATTGCAGCAGTTAGAGATCCATCCGTGCTGAATATATAGGTCCGGGTCGCTTTTAAAACATTCATGCATTTAAGGGTTAAGCATTAGATTAAGAGTGATTATGCACATATTTAAAAATAAAAATATTATTTGCAAATAGCTCAAATGCAATATTTAAAAAAAAAATCTAGCTCTATTTTTGTTCTTTTTTTAATTTATTCTCTATATCTCTTTATAAATCAAATAAATAAAAAATATATTAAATCACTTTATCCTCTTAATCCACTAATTCCTTTAAATAAAAATGACCATCTGGCTGCAAAAAGCATCTTTCTTCATTCAAAAGTGGCTTCAAAAGTGTATTTTGATCAAATAAAATGTGTTGCAAACAACATCTATATTCTATTTTTAATGAATTACATTAAAGTTTGCGTATTGTAGGATACTTGGTATAAAATAGAACTCTGAAATCTGTTTGGATGAACAGATACCGTATTTGTCAATAAAATGTATTTCACGAGTTCACACTTACATAAAATAAATAGAGTAAAGGTTATGCGTATTATTATTATTGTTATGCGTAATATACACAAACTCATTCGGCAGTAGAGTACAGCCAAACCACAGCATTTCTCACATTAATCTGACATATGTTGGATCTTAAAAGGAAAATAAATCCGTATACCTAGCCAACTAATTACACTCCACTGATCCCACAAGTGTTCTCTTCTATCTATCTGTCGGCTGAAATTAGAGCCTCGTGCTTGACAACTCAAGGACTAAACAAGCCAGTTAACACAGTTTTAAAACAGGATCAGTGGACCATACATGAACTGGATATTATGGATCTTATCTGCATCTTCTAAGCAGAATCAGAAACAGAAATAATCCTAGAAATAATTTAAGATGTGGATAATCTGCTGTTTGTTTTTGTGTGTGTGTTCTAGTTCAGAAAGACTTCCTCAGCTCTTTAGCGATTTGTAAGAATCTGGAAGCAATAGACGCATTAGCCCTGACCATGGTCCCCAGGCTCCCGAGCAGCTCTCCCACGCTGAGAGATTTGGACCGGAATACAAGCCCTCTGGATTCCCCCTCAGTCCAGGGCCTGGGAACTGGCCTCAGATTGGGTCGAACTCACACATCCCCCAGTACAAGCCTCACCCAGATCACACTGACCCCATGACACAGATGCAGCTCTATTGGAAGGATTAGAATGAATGGGGAGTGGACCCCGAGAGAAAGAAAAATGAGGAGAATTAGTCATCATTCATCATCACGGTTGTTCTGAAAAGCACAACGAAGAAGAATGAGATTTCTTTCTTCTTTTTTTAAAGCACAAGAGTTGGTGCGGACTCTTAATCATTGCTCAAATAGAGATGTTTTGCTGCAAAAGTGACTGAAACTAAAGGCTTTGCTGCCAAGACAGTCAATGACTTGACACATTTATTTAAGGAAACTGTCTTCAGGCCACCTTCCAAGTCATCATTATGTCATGTCTGGTTAGCTTGTGAACATTTTTAGTCATTAAAGTGAATATTCAATGACTAAAATATTTTTTCCTGGTAGGAACTGAATCATCAGGTTGGAAAAAATGAAACAAATGAAAATTAAATTGATAAAAATCTCAAATTATTAATTCTGCTTTAAGATGTTATTTTTTTATTAACTAACCACCAAACCACACACACAGGATTGTGGGATATTACAAATAGTGAATGAAGCATCTATGCTGCGATTAAAAATCGACCAGATGGAGACATCTTAGTAGACAGGATGTCACGCAAATGTTGGACTGGGACGTGCCATGATGACTCTTTGTCTGAAAATACAGAATTTTTCAAGTTTTAGACACAACCATAGTGAAGGAAGCTCTTCAGATAGCTTCTTGCTATTACCAGGATTTGTTAACAATGGGACATTGATTTGGGCAGGATTTTGGGACGTATGGAATGGAATGGGATGGGTATTGTGTTTCTCTGGGTACTGTTTCAGCCAAAACAGCTAAAGGCAAACAGTGGTATTGGATGGGTGGAGTTTGGGAAAAGTTACTGCAGTGGGCGGCTGGAGGACATGTGGCGCGTGCTACATTGGACCTAACGAAACATCTGTTTTTTGTGGTGGAAGCAGATAGAGGACCCTTAAATGTCCATTAGACTGACAATAGCATTCCCAGAATGCTAGAAGTCCAGCACACATAAGCATTAGGATATAGCCAAGAGCAGTGATGCGACTTCAACTCTAATCTACATCTAGCCAGAACCATCAACCACAAGAAACAAGAGATTAGTCATGGAGTTCAATGTTCAAACTTATCAACTTATTCATCTGAATGTTATATAAACATTAAGAGAGTGATATATAGGCAGATATGAACACAAACACACAGCACAATGAAACCAAATACCCAACATTTATCAAATGATGGAGCTCAAGAAAACGCCACAATTTTGAAAAGATGCTCTTTGGCTCTTTGCAGTGATGATAATGGAGATCTTACAAAAAGGCAGCGCAGTTCTCCCAAAAATGTAAATTTTTGTCATCATTTTCTTACCCTTATGTCTTTCCAAACTTGTATGACTTACTGATGTGCTAGTAATTTTTCCATTTAATAATGACACAGAAGCCCCATAAAAATATAAACAATACAAATTGTATAAAAACAGTTCATATGACTGCTCCTATCATCTGAACTGATAGCTTTGGGCGTAAAACAGACTTACATTTAGGTCCATACACACTGTTTATCTTCCACTGTTAACCACTAGCTGTTAACCACTTCAACTTGATTGAGTCAATGATTGAACAGGATCAGATTCACGAACGAATCATTCAAGTTTTGAGAACAGGATCGACCAAAATTTTATTAGTTTTGGAAGAATCTGACATTGTTAGCTCTTTCATGATCTTCATTAAATAACGACTTAAATTTCATTTACATGGTGTGTTTTGTTTTGTCATTTTGTCACTTTCATTATATTGAAAAAAAAATGGCCATGATATTCAAAAATTCGTCTTTTGTGTATGATGTAAAGAATGTCATACTAGTTTGGACTGGCGTGGGGGTGAGTAATACATAACAAAATCCAGACTATCCTTTTAAGGTGTGTTGATGCTTGGAAAAAAAAAAACAGCAATGAAACTCAATGAACATTCTCATTAAAAGGCTTTGGAAATACACACTCTTCAACCAAAGTTTTTAATGCATTAAATTAAATATCTGAAATAGCCCCAAAAATGGACTAAGTACAAAGAGTAAAAGCTCATCTTTAAAAAAAAAACAAAAAAAAACAAAGTGATTGTGTGCTCATTCAGACAGCACTAATTCACAGGTGAGCAGGGTGGTACTTCCAGGTATTCTCTAGAAGTGGAAACAAGCCTGAACAGCACCCATTTATTTCTCTCTGTGGAGACAAGACCCCAACTTCAGCAGCCCAGACAACTGCCTCTGATCCACTCTATTTCAAACTGTTCAATTAAACATAAAACAAATAGACCACCAGTTTATTCCATTAAAGCAAATCAGAGGCATAAATATATATAAATTTTATATGAATGCAAATTATGCGGATCTGAGATTCCCTGTCACCTCTCAGGAGAAATATCTTGTTTGCTGTTTGTTTGAGAGTTAAGGGGAGTATGATGAGCATATACTGCAGCATTTATAAAGAAGCTGAAGAGAAGTGGGTTGAGGAAATATGAAATTGCAGCAAAGAGAGTGTGTTATTAAGCACAAGAAAGCCTATTAGGCTAACAAAGCCTATCCAGAACATATCTGGGTCATATTTTACCCCACAAATAAATACATATTACATACATCATTATATTATGTATTTAATTCAGAATTGCCATATTACATTAATAAGAATGTAATGTGAATTATCGTTTAGAATAAGAATGACAAATATTACAGAAGTAAAATCTACAGAAGCATTATTGTTCTGATTGGGTGATTCATTTTAATGGTTAAAATGACCCAGACATTTCTTAGTGAGATTTGTTGAAAGGACTGTCACTTGGAAGTACATAAATGATGTGAATTTGGGACATTTTGGACTATGTTTAAAGGGGTCCTATTATGCTTTTTCACTTTTTGAATTTTAGTCAGTGTGCAGTGTGTATGTTTGGGCATAAAAAGATCTTCAAACTTACAAATCTCAAAGTCCACTCCAATGGGAGATATTTCGTTTTTAAAAAATCCCTTTTCAAGAACTACAGCGAACGGCTCGTTTATTCGCAATATTGACGCCATCCTTAACTAAACCGGAGCAGCCGGAACTTGCTGCTTTGGCAAGGGGCGCGGCAGTACTGAAACACCATCTAAGCTGTTCGCCAATCACAACGCACTGGGACAGCTAACCAATCACATCACATTTCGTTTTTTGGAAGGCGGGCCTTCATCAAACCCGGAACTAATCGAGCCGTTTGTGCCAGGCTGGGGAGAAAGGTATTATAATAATGTAAATTATGTAAAAAATAATGCGTTTTTCGAACCACCAAGCATGAGAGCATGTTCTAGTACACCCCCAAAACAAATTCAAGACATTGTAAAAGAGCATAATAGGACCCCTTTAAGACAAGACACTACAGGCAAACACCATGCACTGGTCAATTTTGAGATTTTTGCCTATTTTGCTCACATAACATGTCCTCATTCAGAATAGTGGAAGGAAAACATCCAAAATACACATTTATGTGTCTATTCTATTACACTTCATCTATTTTCACTTATAGATTTCAAGTACAATACCTTTAATATCTTTAAAGGCTGTTTTATTCCAATCTATATTCTGTAACCCCAGTTTCCTGGCCAAATTGCCCCCCTGGCCTTTGTCAATTATGGCCTCCTAATAATCCCCAACCACTTGATTGGCTCTATGACTCTCTCTCCTCTCCACCTGTAGTTGGTGTGCGGTGAGCGCACTGGCCGCCGTTGTCCTGTGGCTGCCGTCGCATCATCCAAGTGGATGCTGCACACTGGTGGTGGTTGAGGAGAGACCCCCCCCCCATGATTGTAAAGCGCTTTGGGTGTACAACAATACACAATAAAGCGCTATATAAATGCATCATTCATTCATTCATTCTTAACCTGCCCTAATTGGACTATTTGGGTAAAACATGTCCTTGTATGAGATGTCTGATGTTTCGTACCTCAAATACTTCCTCATCTAGCAACCGCGTCCCAAAAACAACGACTCCATCCGTGCTGACCACAGGGCTGTCTCCACGCATCAATTCCAGCGTCTGCACCTTCTTACAGTCCAGGTACAGTGTAACAGACTTGCCCTCCACGCTGTAGGCTATCCGATGCCATCTGAGAAGAGATGACAGCTGGGTTAATCAGTGTCAACAACAGCAGAGCTTTATCACAGTACTAACCCAGGGGTAAAAGTGATACTTACTGTTGTTCCAGGAGCATGGCTATTAGAGGTGGATTAGGGGTGCTTAAATGTGAAAGAGCATTCTATAAATGGAAACTGTGATGCTATGGTACCATAGCCAGATCAGGAGTCTAGTTGAAAAAATTATTTTTATTCTGCAAGAGCCACACTTTAAAATAGCTCTCATCCTCCAACAATTATACATGTTGGAATACGTCTACTCATAATAATGTATTTATGAATTATTATTATTTATAGAAGTAAAATGGGTTGTGAACAGCAAATCTCATCGGTTCCAAGTAAAGAAAACTTAAGGGCACTTCAGAGCTACTAGGAATGCATAAAAAAACACTCACTTCCCATCAGCCAGATTGATTTTCTTAAAAATGGGGTAGAGATCTGGAGCTGGCTGGCCTTGGTGGTCTTCATAGAGGAATACAGGCGATCGGCCCATCTCCAGCCCCAGCTGTTGGACTCCCTGCTCATCATACAAAGACACCAGGAAGAATTGAGAGTTTTTCTTAGCCTTGACAGTGGTCATCAGAGAGAAGTTCTCAGGGAAAGCAGAATCTATGAAGAAAACAGCAAAGCATCGTTCATATATAACACAATGCCTGTAGAATTTGCACTTCAGAAAACCCCATGGCCTCAAATGCTTGTAGGGTTGTGAAAGTATGTTTCAAAGAGTCCTTACCTGGAAAGAATTGTTTAGTTGGGGCACTGAGTTGAATCTTTTTGTCTATCCTGTAAGCCATGTCTGTTTCTGATGTGTCCTTTCTTTCGATGCACAGGCCGGCCTCCACTGACACTCCCTCCATGTCTTCAGACAGCTCCAGTACCCGTAATACATTGATCAGATTAGCTGTACACAAAAGAGAGAAAAAAACTGAGTTTCATTTGTAGGCTGCTATAAACAGATTACTTTTTTGGTGAGTACACTTTAGTTTACTTTTAAAAAGATGACTTATTATTTTAGTTGTAGGTGGTTAAAAGAGGTGGGGTATTAATAGTGCAGGATGGTAATTTCATAAAAAGTTGGCATCTGCTAACTTGATGTTCCATGCTGAAAAATCCAACAAAAGAAGTTTGGAATAATTATTTATTACAGAAATAACAAAATACTTAAGTAAAAAAAATACTTTAAAAGAATATACATAAGTATGAACTGAATGTAATGTTTTCAAGCACTTAACTGCATGTTAATTGCAAATAAATGAAAATGTATTATAGTTCAAATTATATATTAAAAATATATATAAAACATATTATAAAATATATTAAATGCAATTAGCTTTTTTAACCACTTAAGTAAGACTTAAGTACATCTTAAGTACATCTTTACATGTAATTTCATAATTACCTGTTGTCACAGAATTATGGTTAAAATGTACTGCAGAATGTACTGACAAGCAAAAAATGTACTTTAATGTCATTATTACTGAAATCTGTATGTTATGTTTTTACATATTGTGGCGAGCTACCCAAGCACTCATTAGCGTTGTCATGGAGAGGGAGAGGATCCAATTGCCAGGAGGCGGAGTCTGTGAACAGGAGCAGGATAAGATTCCTAAAAGTTTCACACCTACAGCATACATTACAGACATTGATGCAAAAACACGGATATGTTCTACATGTCTACAGTATAAATAATGAATAAACCAGTCTCATAAACTCCTTGAATTCGCTTAAGCAACTTTAAATATAATATGCATGCACAATAAACTATTGTAAAATTTATTTACATCACTCGACACCTAGACCTCAGTTATCATGAAAAAAGCCAGGAAATTTCAGTTTTGACAATATGGGACCTTTAAATATAATATGCATGCACAATAAACTATAGTAAAATTGATTTACATCACTCGACAGAAAGGTTTTTGCAGGTTTTAATAAAATGTAAATTAATAACATAATAATAATAATAAGCATATTTTCCAGTACGCGAGTACTGGAATCGTCAGGCTTGCACAGTATCGTCAACTCACTCATCAGAATCTTCGGTAATCCTCTGCAAACTTCGCCACGGCTCATTCGGTTCTTGTTGAGTCCTCGGTAATCCTCGGCAAACTTCGACAGTTGGTTGAACCGGCTCAATCTGTTCTTTTTGAGTTGGACGTGCTACTTCGGCTGTGCGTCCTGCGTCATCAACCCGGAACTAAAGTTCGATTCAGTTCGATTTGTGAACCGGCTCGACCGGTTACTTCCTGAGAACCGGCTCAAAAGAATGATTCGTTCAAGAACCTAACATCACTAGTTCCTGCACCTGCACTTCTACACTCTTCACGGCGGATGATCTGCCTCTCTGATCTTTGGAGCACCTTCACCACTTTCATTATTGTCACTCAATAAATGCCCCTTCGGGGATATTTCACCACACGTTGAGTCTGAGCCTCCTTTCTCCCGCCACAACTGGTGGAGAATGCGGGCAAGTGAGAATTTAGGTTAGATTCTGTCCTAACGTGTGTGTGTTGTCTCTCATTACCTTACAGATCCAGCTCTCTCACACTGTCTCTAGTGCAGCATGGAAGACATCTTGCGCCGGCTGGCCGAGGTATCTCATCAAGCAATAACGTCTCTAGTGCAATGTTGTGTCAATGAAAAATTCAAATAAGTCATTTGTGTCAACACATATTGAAACATTCAAAAAATAAAGTTATTTGTGTGAACGCATATTGCTGATTATTACCATATAATTCACTTAAGTTAATGGTGTTTGTGGTCACAGTTTCATTCGC